AGTTAACTATCTAGGGGGAATAAGTGGTGACGACCCTTCACATAGTACAGTCCAAAGATAATTCGTTATGTGGCTATGTTCTAAAATGTCATACACCAGATGCAAAATGTCACACCACACCTGTTACTCACTACAACTAAGAGGGCTTTAACTTTTTCGAACATTGATGAAGTAGTGGTTGTATTAAACGAAATAGAAACACGCAGCAAGAAATCGGCGTCGAAGTCGTTTCAAATCCACACTCTGCACCGGTAAAGTGCAAACTAGTTGTTGTTGCTGCCGTTGCTGTTGTTGTTGTTGTTCTCTTTGTTGGTCGATGGCTAATGTCTTGTCGATTTCTCCTTCCTCAGAGCCGTCCTGTTGCGAGTAGGACTACAAACTTGTTGATAATACGCAATATGCCTAGAGGTCACGTGCGACCTGACCCCGTATGTTTGCATCAATTTCTGATGTGGGGGTGGTGTAGTCATCTCAACCATATGCGATAGCATAGAGTTTCCGTCTTTTTGTAAGTGTTATTGAAGCGTTTGGCCTAGTAGATTGTACACCAGTATGCCCTTCCAAGCTCTGGAAAAAGCGATTCTGCCGAAACGTCAGCTACTGTTGTATTGTGTTTTTCTATGGAAGTAAATGTATGCTGCATAACAACCTCGCGATTGCTGAGGAAGAAAACGATACGCCTTATATTTTATTTATTTTAATATTTTTGATCCTTTCTGAGTGTGTCTAAGAAAGAGAACTAGTTCGTAAAAGTGCAATGGTAATATGATAAAGGACGGCTGAATTTGAGCTAAACGTATCCAACACTAACCAATTGCCTAGATTGTATGATATGTTGGCTAGTTAATAAGCTTCAGTCACAGCTACATTTGCGATCATTGTCAGATTCCATCGTCATTTTTTCGTTTGTTTAAAAAAAGATGTGAGGATGAAATGAAGATCCGTGGAGATGACTGTAGAAGCTTTTTTCCTCAAGAGCCCCGACATTCCATTGGCGGAAATATTCGCCAGAACGTTAGAGTTTTTGACCAAAACGTTACCTATCGTAAATTTCATCGCTCATATCTTTTATAGCCGTCAGCTCTGTCGAAGGAGCATATATCAATCATTTTTCAAGCAGGAACTTCTCATTGCAGAATGATATTTTGCATTGTGACTTAAAATTGAGGCGATTCTTAACTATTCAGGAAGTATTCAATAACACGGCTGAGAGACAGGCGAAAGAAAGGACTCGCGTGGTGTGGTGGTGAACGCGTTACCCCTGGGAAAGTGTAATAGCGTGTTCGGTTCCCACCGCAGACACCAGCAGTCTGGAGTTTTACAAATAGCCCAGCAACATTATAATTATATTCAGGTGGTGTTTTGTAAGTGTTGGGTTTCCCCCATTTAGAGTAAACGTGATCGATCAAAAATGACCAACACGAACATCTTTTTTTGCAAAAAAAATTGGTTTGCTATGTATTCAGAGCTAAGTGTTCTTTTCATATGTTTGAAATCGATTCGATGGTTTCATGTAGGTATGATCGGAATGTGAAATGAAGAACTCGTGGAGTGTAGTCTCACAACAGGAACCAGCATTAATCGGCCGGTTGGTCGCCGATCATGGACGGTTTGGATCCATCCAAACGATGTCTGTTGCACGTATATGCTCCTCCCCCTCCCCTCCCATACGCCCCGCCTCTCATTTGATGACATATCTCTCCACATTCCCGATTTGCTCCAGAAACTCCTCCGTTTTTCTCGTCGTCGATAACCGTTAATCTCTTCGGTTCGGTTAACATTCATTACATTCATGACGCAATAGCTTTTTTTTTCTTTCTTTAACAAAATTTGAACAGAAAACCATTTCTTGATGAATCTCTTCTGCGTACTGCTTATCGGGCATTCGAATAGCTAGGGCTAGCTAGATGGCTTTCACGTCTTTAGTGCTTTCTCTTCACTATTTGAGCAGAATGTATACATTGATGAGATGTTCGAAAATTCGTTATTCTCGTGTCTTTCCAAATATTTATAATTTTGTATTATTGTTACTGGCGAAGAACATATTTGCGCAAGATTCATGAAATCACAAGCTTTCACCTCTGGTTTAAAGGCAAGTCATTCTGAATATGTGAAAGCCTTCTTTTATCCACTTAGCAAATCTACGAATAGAACTCAAATCTGGTAAACCATCTCGAGGAAATTGAACCACAGTGAGAAACATAATGTCAGCCCAATATGCTGAAACATTTACGTTTCATGGCTTGTTCACACTAGTTCTTTTCTTTTTCAATGCCGATTCGCATGGTGTGGTGGTGAACACGTTAGCCCCTGGAAAGGGTAATAGCGCGTTCCTTCCCCATCGCGGGCACCTGCGGTCCGGAGTTCTGCAAATATCTCAGCGTCATTGAAGTTGTACTTTGCAACATATCCTGCCATTAAAAGGAGTGGGTAGCAAATAATAAGTTAGAATTATTATCAGTTCATTAGAGTATTCTTCATGCCCATCGTAGACAGTGATTGAGGAAATGACGTCATTATAGCTGTACGCTAGTCTGATATAACCTAATACTATCGTATTCCGTTTCGAAATTTAATTATGTGTTCTTTAAACTCAGTTGTTTTTCCAACTCAGTTGAGGCAAAGCCCACTTAGTGGTATTTACAGCGACGTTTTGAACACGGACCTCCATTACTTTCATCCAGCATTGATATTCAGTCGTGAGTGGTGGTCATCGCAGCAGTTCTGTTATTTCTATACGTTTACTCTGCATCTGGAGATCGTCGGCATAGAGGACTATTTGTGCTCGTCGTCTTAACAGTGTCTTATCTAGTTGGGGTACGCCGAGGCTATAGATGATCATGTCGACTACCAGAAAGACGCATGCTCGATCATCGTTGATCACAATTCTGCTGTCAAGCTCTTGGTTCAACTCTAAAAATCCACTTCCAACCTTTTCGCTCTTTTGCCAAAATCGTTCATGGAGCTTCTCGAGCTCGGATTTGGATAAAGAGGTGAAGGATGAAGCTTTCGACTTTTGAGGATTTCAGTTCGGCTGAGGGTTATTAGTCACGTTTCCTTACTGGTATTTCCTGTTTCTTGAGCGTGTATAGTCGTCAAAAAATGTGCTAGTTCAAATCCAGCTTCTCAGCACAGGCATCCTCTGTTCTTAATGAATTCTAGGATGGCATGTTGTCTTAAGACTGCGATTCTTCAAAACGTCCAGGATAACAGTGGTCTTTTTCACTAATCGGCCAATCGATCGAGGACGGTGTGACACACTTTATGCACTTTGCTTGAATAAATTTCCAACGTTGGAAGCAAAAAAGGCGTTTTTGGAAAACATTGGGGTTTATCGGTGGGTCAGTGGAGTCCATGGAGTCCAACGAAAATTTTCGATGCGGAAAACTGGTTTTCAGGCATTTTTAATCAACAGAAAGTAGTAATAGGAAACGCTTGTTGAGACATTCCAGTGCTGAGCTAAAAACGATTTTCCATTGAAATTCCTTTCATTTGAGTACATTGTAGCTTCCGCCAATTACGCGGTTCCTTGGCGAGCGTGTAATCAAAATCTTCCGGTCTAATTTGTCTTAGTGCTGGAAGATTCTATTTTGTTCTCGCCATTGTCATCGCAATTTCCTGGTTTCTCTAAATTCGAAATCTAACTCACTTTTCTTGCGACTTTTATGTCTCATAAGAAACTGCTTCATTATACCATTGCTGTTAACTTCTTTATTTATTGCCTATTACAATTTTTTGCAGCAGGATATTATGTGTGATACAATCACAATGGTGTTGAGATATTTGCCAAACTCCGAATAGCAGGTGTCTGCGGTGGGAACGAACGCACTATTACGCTTTCTGGGGGATAACGCGTTCACCACACCATGTGGATTCTCTGTTTCGTCTTTCTATGAACAGATCAGAGACAGATGCCCCCGGAAAGGGTAATAGCGCGTTCGTTTCCCACAGCAGACACCTGAAGTCCGGTATTTTGCAAATATCTCAGTATTATTATGGTTATATAGCTTAGAGTTTTGCAACATTTAGTCAATTTACGTGACATTCCCAACGTCTAGGCGGATGCGATTCGGTTATTGTTTCATACAAATGCTTTATCACAGCTATCAGCTAGTCAAACGCCGATCGAACAGAAAAATTCTTTGATATTCTTAGCTAACCAATTGTTGAAGACACTCTTAATTTTTAGACGTGTCGTTTTCTTTTTCAGCAGTCGCGAGGTTTTTATACAGTACACGTTGACTTCCGTAGAAAAAACGCACACACAATACAACGGCAGCCGACGTTTCGGCAGTATAGCCTTCTTCAGAGCTTGGAAGGGTATATTGGTGTGCAGTTTGCTAGGTCAAACGCTTCAACACCACAAACAGAAAGATGACAACCTGAACGATGATTACAAGATCAACGATGTTCTTCCTCGGTGGAGGGCAGGAAAAACGGTTAGTTTTTCGAGAAGCTGTCCATCGTGTAATCATCGTTCAGATTTTCATCCTTCGGTTTTTGCTATTGAAGGGTTTGACCTAGTAAATTACGTATCAATGCACCCTTCTAAGCTCTTGAGAAGATGATACTGCCCAACCGTCAGTTACTGTTGTATTCTGTGTGTTTTTGCATGGAAGTAAACGTGTGCTGTATAACAACCTTGCGATCGCTTAAGAAAACGATGCATTTAAAATCCAAAACCGAGGTTAATAGAAAGTTGATCTTGAGAAGTCTTGACTTTTACCTGCTATCTATTCCTTTTTCATGGTAGTATGTGTACGCTGTGAAGTACAACCACAAGAATGCTGAGATATCGGCAAAACGCGGGACCTCAGTTGTGTTTTGAACTCGAGATTACCACTACACCAACTGAAGCCCTTGCTTTACCTGTCTCTCAGCCATGTTTTTATCCTATCGATGCCATCAGTAACCAGTTGTTGTTTTACTTTGTTTGATCATTTCCTTCGCTCGGTATTTGCTGTTGACTGTTTCCAATCAGAATCTGGAACTATAGGCTGATGGCCAGCGTCGATTACGATGATTACGACTACGACGACGCCAACCTCACCGATGTCGAGTACGAAGATCTGCTTCGGGCCACATTGTGGCCCCAAAGTGTTGAGAAGACGTTCGTCGTCGTGCTAATGTTTATGATGGTAGTCGGCGTCGTTGGTAACACTCTTGTTGTGGTCGTTGTTATATCGAAAAAATCCATGGTGAGTTCCAGTTATTTGCTGAAATTACTTTCTACCACTACTTCCTTCTTCGATATCCTATCAGACACACCATAATCGGCAAGGCCATAAGATTACATTATTATAGAAAAGAACGCTAACAACGAATAGATCCATTACTGACAAGAAAATGCAAAACGTGAAAAGAATTTGCATTGAGATCAATGCAGTTCACTGTAGAACTTGCGTTTCGTTGTTGATATGCCGACATGAGAATGTTGTTTACACGACATCACAATAGTTGACATTTCAATGGATTTTGCCGTATTCAGCGCGTGGAAAGGCTGAATGGGTCATATCCACTTCATCTCACAACAAAGTCTTTAGTGAAGTCTCATCCTTTTTGCTATAAAATTTGTGAGCACATCTTTTAAACCCACTACTAATCAAAAACTTTAGAGTCCTATGCCAGAAATAAGCCTAGTATTCTAAAATATGATCTTCAAAAGAACTGAGTGTTGGTTCAGCATCTCTCTGGCGCGGTTGTTTCATCGCTCATTGATCATTGATAGTCGCGGTCAATGATTAGTTACAGGCCATTCAAACATAGCAAAGTGTAATTGTGAGATGTGACTTTAACTCAGGAATTCTGTTCCGAACCTTAAGTTCTGCTGGTTCCAATCCTCTGGTTGCCAGACCTACAACTCTCGAGCAGGACCTTTCTCTATCGACCTATTACTCACCTAAATTCCATCTTCACCTCGTTACCTCAGGATAGCCGGTTCTTGGAACACGAGGGTTTTTTAAACCTCTTAAAAAATAACAAATGATATAAGCATCCTATTATTTCAAAAATGTTTCAAAATTCTTACCTTTCTTGCTAGCACCTGCTTCTACTATACTGGAATTTTTATAACTTCTAATTTTGTTCTCAATTTTTTCCAAGTCTCAGTTCTAAAAATAACTAGACTTGGAGGCCCACTGTGCAAAAATTACAAATAGAAATAAATAGGGAGGAGCGTCTTTCCATAAATATGTTGACTTTTGAACTCCGGAATTACTCTACTGATTCAGAAATCCAGAGAAACAAGCTTCGTCGCAAATGTGTGAAAATCTCCCGCTTCAGCGCACCTGTAAAAGCATGGCGCAAAAGGATACTGGGCCGTTACGTTTGCTTGTCCTAAGAGATTTATTATTCTCACTTGAGTGAATGTCATTCGTTCTGGTGCATTAAAGAAGCGGTACAAGATTTCACGATGACCTCATTCTGGCAACGTCAGTTAGATGGAACATTTCATTTTTTGTTCCTGTTATCAATCCTAGGGTTTCTTTCATTTGATTTCTTTCCTCATAACCATTGTCCACGAAGGTCGTCGAATTTGCATGTGAGTTCGGCAGCTACCTTAGGGATTCTGGTCTTGCTTATGAATGCCGTTGAATGCTGTTCGAGTTGTTTCCCACTTGAAAGCTGAAATACCAGTGCTAGAAGTTCTCAAATGTTAATGACATACAGTACCCATTTTTTGTGGATTGCACGGACGAATTTGATCTTAGAGAAGTCTGGTATCGATTTTCTGACGTCAAAAGGATGGGAACCTTGGTTAGCCGATGTTGGGGTCCAACCAACGACCGTGTGTCTGTTTATACATATGCATAGAGATATGTGCTTCTTTGTTCGGAACAAACTTGACCATTTTCCTATGTGCTTGTTAATGATTTGAATGTGGTGTTTTCGTTAACGATAGAATTCGTATGCGCATTCTCCCACGTACGCATGTGAATCTGACAAGCTGGAAAAGAATGAGAGAGGTAGAACAGAGACAGGGACCCCATCCCATTTCAAATCTCCCTGCATTAGCGCAGATAATTTTAATGCTGATTAAATTACAGTAGAAACGTGTAGCGCAGTGGTTGGAGGTATGCTGCATTGTAGTCGTGGTCTTTTTTTTTCGATTCTGTCTAGGAAAAACCAATTCTCCCACTTTCCTGATGTTTGAAAATTGGTTCCAAACCTATCTAGAAAAGTAAAAACACTGAGTTTATGCATCGCTAGGATGCTGTAGGTTATTATGAACGTCAATTATGCATTTATTCCTCTCTACAATGCTTAAATGAAGACGAATGTCTGGCGCATGCATTATAGGCATTGGTCAACGCCAAAAGCTTTCCCCTTATACTTTGTCGAAGCTACAGAGTTCCTTTCCATGGAATGTCATAAGACTCCATGGTGCTTTTCTGCTTAGCGGATAACTCGTGCGAAGAACAATCACGTGACACTTTTATGAAATGAGAGCTGAAAAGTACATCAGTATAAAAAAGTTACGTTAAAGTTAGATGAGTTTGTCGATTTGTTGAAGAAAGAGAAGAAAAGAAAGTGGAAGAGAAGAAAGCAAAACTTAAAGCGAAATTTAAGAAAAATACCTTCGAACTACGATGAGTACTTTTCTCCTACTTGTTCATGTAGAGGGATGCAAAATTACATAAAATCAAACGAAGGCCTCATGGAGAATCTTGGAAAACAATGTCCTCTCATATATTTGATGCACAGTAGCTAATTCACTTGTATTACCTACTTGGATACTTGGGTGGCCCGTCTTTACTGATTGGGCGGTCGCCAGCAAAATCTCTATTTTTTTTGGAGATTTGCTCGTTCTAGTCATTGTGGTTCCCTGGAGTCCCGAGGTGAGCCTGGCCAAAGTCTGCCCAAGTCCGTCGCCACCACAGGCAGTCGCAACCCTTGTGCGTCAGAGGGAGATTTGTCACCATTCGACTAATTTGATGCCAGAACGGTGATGGATCTTGGTTTTGGTTTATTCTTAGCTAAGCTTTCTGTTGGAAACGCCGGACTCCTTTTCAGCTTGGGGGACCCTGCTACGTGATGAATTCCCCGCTGTACATCGCAGCCCAACACCCAAAAACACCTCCCAGCCACGTTGAGGCGGTAAATCGTTGGAAAGAGTTCACTTGTATTATCAGACATATTCCGAGTATCAAATACACTAAAACAGTATTACTATTAGCAACTAAAGGACACGAATGAAGCTTCCGGCGTTGATCACTCTTTCAGGGATGAGCTGTGCTTTCAACCCAACAAGCATCATAAAGGTGAATGCACGGATATTTGGCCTATACAGTGAATTGCGAAGACCTATCGATGGATCAAGAGAGTTATTTTTTTCAGGAAAATTTAGTGTCAATTTGTAGACATTGAAGGAAGGGAGGGATTGTTTTGCCTAATCCGCGGAGTCGAACCAACGACCATGGGACACCTCTAACCGATGCACTACACGCGCCCACTAATAATAGCAGCGATGACGAAAAATTTTGTCAGTAGAGATAACAATAGATGATAATAGCAATAAATATGCCAATGATATCTCCCTATACTTTACCGTCTCATTGCGGCTGGAGGCTATTTGAAGAATATCGAACGATGATGTGGAGGAGAGGGTAATACTTGTGTTGGAAAATTTTAGTTTGCCGATAATTTCAGACTGTATAGTGTTGAGCTTCCGTATTTCACAAGTGATGATTTAGTCAACATAATTCGGATTTTTGGGGCAGACTTTGGCCAGGTTGGCCTCGGGATTCGGGACAATGGCTTAATTAGCAATTCCCCGAAAAATGGAGATTATGCTGGGACCTGCACAACCAGTGAGAACGGGCCATTCAAGGATCAAGTACCAGGTAATCTGGATTGTTTGAGGTGTTTTCTGTTAGTTCCTGACGTGTTTGGAAAGGTAGGAGTCGACCGGGGAGTTATCCGTTGTGTATCTTAAGTAAGAGAGAGTCAACTACTTTAATTGCAAATTTATCTTCCTGTTGGAAGTGTTTAGCTGCTTCATTTTTGTCTAATCGAAGCACGGAACGCACTTTTCTTCGCACGTCGTAGTCGTAGGACGACGAAAAAGGGATTCGTCATTCTTTTCTGTAGGAAAAAACAAAACAGAAACTTCCTTTTCTTTTGTTTAATGATCGCAGCACTAAATTTCCGAGTTCTTTTCTTCTTACATTCCGGTTCACCTGAGCTGAGCCTGAACTTTTTGTGCTAGTTGCACCGTATGCTCTCGGCTCGTTGTAAATGAACCTGCGCCAACCAACATCTTTCTGTAGCCGTTGTCAAAGGTAGCCTTGGCCCCAGCCTTATTTATCTTCATAGATGAGAAACTTTCGAAACCTACACTTGGCAGAATGGCCACTAACGATTTTCTGGTCAAATGTGACGTAGGCAACGGAAGCTGTCTGCACTGTTTTACTTGCAAATTCGGCTTGGTGTGACAACTAAAATTTTTCTCCTTTGATGTCCGGAGCTAAAAATTTGTCTAACACATTCGAAGCGTTTTCGATTTTCGATAGCTGGAGTGCTTTAGGGTTTGAGGAGATGACAGGTATACAAAGATAACTTTGCTTTATCGTTATAGTACTATACTTTTCTTTAACGCATTTGTAGTCCAATCTTAGTTATACCGTAACCTAAAAATATTGATATGGATACAAAAATTTTACATTTCTACGGTAAGCGAAACAACCACGAAGAAAACGATGCATTGGGAAGCACCTTGTCCTGCTGTACGAAATCTCGCCTGTCCAGTCGCTTTGCTACTCATAGAAATAATCCTCGACGAGAAAAAAAGCAAAAAAAGGAGACCATTAAGCTATGCAAAAGCTAGATTTGACGGTAGAAGAATGAGAGATTTTGTTTTTGTCGACAAAGTTCTGTAGACTCTAATGATCTTCACTACAATTCAAAAAGTTCATCACTGTTAAGCGAGATGTAGACATAGCGCCGAGTTGGTTTGTAGATGTAAAACAGTGATTTCCAGCCGCGTATGCATTGAAATGGATGCATATGTTAACAATTGGATCAAAACGGCTTTGGAAGTAGAACTTGGACGGAAATAAGCAGGTTCTCAGTGCTTAAGACTATAGAATTTCGATATTCGTAGCTGATGGTGACAACGATGCATCCAAGTTCCTCGTTTTGTTTGGCAAATGGAAAGGATGAACAATATTCAGTGGGGAAAGGAAAAGAGTGGAAGTTATTTATCATGGATAGGATGAGGAATTTGGAAAGACTGACGAGGAAGATGATACCAATCGAAAAGATTTTTGGAGGA